TACGTACATGCCCTCCATTCTAGATTCAGTAATTGTTAATATGCCGTCACATTTGCTTTTCCATCTGTGTGTGTATATACTTTTTTCTTGTCGTTTGAAAGTAAATCCTGATACCACCTCATCATTCTTCTTCTTGGGCATTTTCCTATATAACAGCAATACTATTATTTTTCTTAACTGTAATTCTGTAATATCATCTACCTATCCAGGCATATTCAAATTTCTTCTTTTGTACCAAAAAATTTTTTGTATTGCTGCTTTTTAAAAAACTTGAGTCCAAATTTCTTTTCTTTCTTTCATTTATTGAGTCTTATCTGTCTTTTACTATTTGTGAACAAAGTGTGTATCTTTATATATTTGGGTCTCTATTTTCTGTCAGCAATGTTTTGCAGTTCTGAGGTCTTAAACATCTTTTGTTAAATTTATTCCTAGGGGTGCTTGGGTGGCTCAGTCGTTAAGCATCTGCCTTTGGCTCAGGTCATGATCCCAGGGTCCTGGGATCGAGCCCCGCGTCAGACTCCCTGCTCAGCGGGAAGCCTGCTTCTCCCTCTCCCACTCCCTCTGCTTGTGTTCCCTCTCTTGCTGTCTCTCTCTCTCTCTCAAATAAATAAATAAAATCTTTTAAAAAAATTATTCCTAAATATTTTGTTGCTATTGTAAATGAAATTTAATTTTTTTTATTTTCCAATTGTTTATTGCTAGTATGGAGAAATTCACTTGTGTTTTGTGTATTGGCCTTGTACTCTGTGACCTTGGTAAATTAATTTATTAGTTTCAATAATTCTCTTACAGATTCATTTGGATTTTTTATGTACACAAGCATGTTATTTTCTTCCCTTATTGACTATAATGGTTGCAGTGGACATCCTTGCCTAGTTCCTAGTCTTAGAAAGAAAGCATTCAGTATTTTATCAATAAGTATGATGGTAGCTGTAAAATGTTTGTGTTTTTTTTTAGATGGGCTTTATCTGTTTGAAGAAGTCCCCTTCTATTCCTGTTTTGCTTAGAGTGTTTATTATGAAGAGTTGCTGAATTTTGTTAGATGCTTTTCTGTGCATCTGTTGAGATGAACAAGCCTTTTTTTTTCTTTTCTGCCTTTTTTCTGAAATATAGTGAAATTCATTGATACTTGAACCTTGCATTCCTGGGATTCCACTTGGGCATTGTATGTTATACTTTACATATATATTATTGGGCTTAATTTGCTAATATTTTATTGAAGGTTTTATGTCTATATTCATGAAGGATGTTGATCTGATAATTTTTGTTTCTCATATTGTCATTGACTTTTAGTATCAAGGTTACTCTAACTTCATAAAACGAATTAAGAAATAATCCCTCTTTCTCTCTTTTCTGAGTTTAAGATTGGTATTATTTCTTCCTTAAATGTTATATAGAATTCACCAGTGAAACTGTCTTAACCTGGAATTTTCTTTTGGGAAATTTTAAAATGTCATATTAAATTTTAAAAAATAGAGTATAATTCATGTTTTCTATTTCTTCTTGAGTCAGTTTTGGTAAGTCCATGTGGCGCTGTTTCTGTGTGTCTGTATGGTGATGCCCCCTTTTTCATTCCTGATAGTGGTAATTTGTGTCTTCTCCATCTTTTTCAGAGTCTTTCAACTGTATTGATATTTTCATTAAAACAAGTTTGCTTTCATTGGTTTTTCTCATGTTTTTTTTTCTCTTTCATCAATTTCTGTTCTTATCTTTATATCCTTTTCTCTACTTGATTTGTCCTTAATTTGATCATTGTTTTTACATCCTTGAAACAGAGGCTTAGATCATTGGTTTTAGACCTTTTTTTTCTAACATGATCATTTAATGCTGTTTTCTTCTATGCCCTGTTTGACCAGCATCCCACAAATTTTGATATGTTGTGTTTTTATTTTCATTAAGTTCAAAATATTTTCCTAAAGCCTCTGTCTTCTTGCTCCAACATCTGAATTATCTTTGAGTCTGGCTCTGTTGATTGCTATGCCTCTAGACTTTTTTGTGTGTGGTTTTTGTTTTATTGTTTTGTTTTTCTTGTTTGCTTTTTCATATGTCTCATAGTTTTTGATTGTCCATAAAAGAGTAAAGGCTGAAGTAAAGAGATTTAAAGCCTATAAATGGGTACACCTCTTCTGTGTGGCTAATGTGGGGACTTAAGTCAGTCTAGTCAGGAGTTAAACTGGGATTGAGTTTTTATTTTGCTATAGTTATCTTCATTGAACCAGAGGTCTCAGATTCCTCTAATGCTGCCTGAGATGTAGGACAGAGGTGAAGTGTCAGTTTTTTTCTCAGTGTTTGTATTTGCTCTGTATGCCTGCTTGATAGAGGGGTTTCTCTTCTCACTCTTGCCCCCTCGTCAGTGGTAAAGTGGTCTTGCTTGTTAACTCAGTGCTTTCAAAGTTAATAGAGGAGTGGACACAGGAAATGTTCTTTGTTGTTACTGTATGGCATTGGTCTTAGGTGATTATGTATGCTTGGACCTTAAGGTGGGACTTTCTCAGAGTTTCTGATCCCTCCCTCATCAGGTCCTCTAGTCCTACTGATAGAAGATTCTGGGCTTGGGACTGTTCTTATCCCCATTCCTTCTGACTATTGAGGTGAGGGTTTTTTCCCTCCTTCAACAATGAGGCATGGAATTTGCTTCACCTTCCTCAGTGATTTACGACTGGGCAGGGTAGCAGGCCTTTTTTTTTTTTTTTTTTTTTGTCATGGTGGCAGCCAATTCCTTGCACCACTGAGAGAGACTCATGATCTTTTACCCTGTTTCCAGTCATCCTCATGGCTACCCATTGGAGGTGTGTGGAAAAGAACCTGTGAGTGCATGCACACTGTCTGGGGGCACCTTGGGGTTTTATACTGTCAGGCTATTCCATACTCAGCCATTAGCAGTTTCTTAGAATTTTAACTGATTTCTTCTTCCCTGCTTGCTTGACAGTGGTATCTTCTTCTTGCTTTGCCACAGGTGACCTTTTTCTAGCATTCTGTTTCTCTTTAGAAGTAACTGTCAATCCTTGGGATTCAGACTACCCGATTATCTTATGGCTTTAGTGCTCTGATGGATTCAAGAGACATTTTGGGTTATTTAGAGGTGTTAACAGTTTCGAGTCCTGTGTGCTAGGATTTTCCAAATATCTTTTAGTTACTGACTTTTCATTTAATTCCATTGTGGTCAGAGAACATACTTCATTATACCTTGGATTCCTTTAAATGTATTTATTTATTAAGACTTGTTTTGTGGTCCAGGATATTTTATTTTAGTATTTTAGTGAACATTCTGTGTACAATTATTGGGTGGGATATTCTATTGTGAATTCAAGTTGTTTGAAGTTGTTCAGATCTTTGGTGCTTGGTGGTTTTGTCTGTTTTTTTTCTATCAGTAATCAAGAGAGGGGTATTAAAATTAGCAACAAATTCTGTCAATTCTCCCTTCATGTATTTGGAAGCACTGTTAATTTGGAATTGTTACATGACTTCTTGATAAATCAATCCTTTTATCATGCTTATCAAATGTGTATTTTTTTTCTCTAGAAATGCTTGTCTCGAAGTCTGCTTCTAAGAGTAGCCTCCCAGTTGCTGCTTTCTGCTGGGATGTGTTTTTCCCCCCCAAGTCTCACCTTGTGCACTCATGGTTTGAGAGGTTAGCCAAAGCGGGGCGCCTGGATGGCTCAGTCAGTTAAGCGGCTGCCTTAGGCTCAAGTCATGATCCTGGGGTCTTGGAATGAAGCCCGGCGTGGAATCGGACTCTCTCTCCCTCTACCCCTCCTCCTGCTGGTGCTTACTTGCTCACTTGCTCTCTCTCTCTCTCTCTCAAATAAATAAACAAATAAGCATTAAAAAAAGAGAGGTAAAGATGTGGGAGGACTTTGCATGCTGGTTTTTTGGCTTCACCCTCTGGATTCCTTTCTGGGATTTGTATTCCTCATTGTCTGCCACATTAGCTGCCTCACTTTGTGACATTTGCCTCTTCTGTCTAGTAAAACTGCTGCTTTGTGCTTGAGCTCTTACCCCCTACTCCTGATGCTGATTTGGAAGCACTCCCTTGGGCAAAATGTGTATCACACATGCTCCTTTCAAAGATTGTGTCCTTTCCTGTTTCTGCTTACTTTTGGTTGATCTCCAATATTTTCAAATTGTTGGGCTTTTATATATTGTCCAGAGTTTATAATTGTTATCATCAGGAGGTTAATCTGACATAAGGAGCTCTGCTATATCCAGCACCGGAACACCTCTATGTCTCTTTTAACTTACAACAACCCCCGCTTTTTTATCCCATTCCCTTAACTGTTTGGAGATTCCTGTCCAGTCTTCTTATGAAAGTTCTACGATCAGAATATTTTATTGTTTCCCTATGGTGATGTTTCATTTGTTCCTCTATCCCTTGTACTACCTATGAACTGGAATTTAGATCAAGAGACTTGATTAGATTCAAGTTAAACATTTTTCTGCTTCATAGATGATACTTGTACTTCCTTTTGCTTATATCAGCAGGAGCATTATATTTTATTGTCTCAGTATCGGTGGTGATTGGTTTGATCACTCGGTTAAGGTAGTGTTCTTCACTGCAAAGATTTGTTTTTCCCTTTGTAATTAGTAAGTAATTTCTAGGGTGGTAATTTGCAACTCTCTTCATTTTTTGTGTCCTATCCAGATGTTTTATTCAGATGCCAGTACAGAGTACTCTGCCAGTACAGAGTTCTTATAGATTCTAGTTTTTATATACCATATATACTTTAATGGTACATATCTCATATTATGTGGTGGTTACAGAAATATCTTTCTTTTTTTAGTAGATTTTGAGGTACTAATGCAGATATTCCATCTTAGATATCTTTATGTTTCACACAGCACTTAATTAGCATTTTGCATATAGTAGGTACTCAGTAATTTTTTTTTTATAGAAAGAAAATTAGCTAAGAAATCTCAAGACTTTTTCTATTTAAAACATTTTTTAATCTCTTTATTGGGTACTGGTTAAACTTAATGTTGATTATACTTTTTTTTTGTAGGTAAATGAGAAATCGGGACAGATTATACAGTATGATAAATTTTATATACATGAAGTACAAGAATTGATAGACATAAGGAATGATTATATCAACTGGGTCCAACAGCAGGCCTATGGAATGGTATGTTTCCTATTGCATCTTATGATTTCATTTTTATGTATCATTTATTCTCACAGAAAAGAAACAATTGCTTGTTTTTGAAACACCAGTTTTTTCAGAGCTTTTATTCAAATCTTATTTTTGAAATAAAAACACTTTGGGAAGGAGTAGCTACTTATTGTGCAGTATTTATAAGTAGACATTCCACTCTTACACCAAAGCCCAGCCAACTAAAGAAAAATGCAAATGTGACATGGATTTTTAACTCTCACTTACTTTCCTTGAGGTTGCCTCTTAATTCTCTCATGTTGAGAATACTGAAGTCCCTGATACTGGAACTCTAGGAATATATTACTATTGTGAGATTAGTGCCTCAGAATTACCAGAAGAGAGTTGTAGGACCATTGATTCCAGTTTTTCCCCTTTAATGTTTTTAATTTTATTTCAGAGTTTTGACATAAATCCCCATGTGTACATAATTCTTCCCGTGTAGCTAAGTCTCATAACTAGACACTTAATGTCCCATTAAAATAATAGCAGTCGTATAAAGCTTCATGTAGACACACAGAATTTTAATATAGAAATGGGTAAGCAATTAGATCTAAAATAGATTTGCTAACCATCGTAGTATACTTGGGGCCAACTTTTTCCCCCATGAAGTAGGTAATTTAAGCAATGTGTATGTAGCAGTTGTAGAAGGGCGAGTAGTCTTTCACTACTTGCTAAGCACCAGCTGCAAGCTCCTTGTGGATAGGCACCCTATAATTTTATTCACCAGTACTTCTAATAGTCTTTGGAATATGTGTAGTAGGCACCAAGCACAGTAGTTTTGAATGGCAGTGTGATTAGTGCATGCTAATTTTAGAATACTCTCATCTGTAGAAATCAGGTCACTTCTAGAACATCTTTTGCTCCCCTAGGTATATGCATCTTGATTGGGAGAGACTTGTTGATTTTTTTTCCCCTGGAATCATTGGGAGTCTAGGTCACATTTGTAGCCTTTCTGTAGATTTACGTCTACTCATTTGCTCATTCAACAAATACTGAGAATATTGAGAACCTCCAGTGACAGGCATCAACTGAGGTATTGGAAATACCGTGAGGAACCAGAGAGATAAGGGCCGTATTCTTATGCAGTTTGTAATCTGGTGGGCAAGATGGACAGTAATCCAGTAAAGCAAAAAATACTAGCTAATAATGTACACTCTATGTAGAGAATTGAAAGAATATAAGAAAGACTGTGATTGATTTCTTGCAATTGGGTAATCAGAAAAGTCCTGTCTGCTGAAGTATGGGCTATAATCTAAGTGACAAGAAGCAACCACATAAGATCAAACCAAAGAGGATTTCAAGAAAAATGAATATCCAGTAAAAGACCTTAGGTGAGAACAAGCTTGACATGTTTGAAGGATAGAGGAGGACAGTATGGCTAAAATACGGGAGTGGGAAGAGTTCTGGGAAAGGATCAGAAATGGACAGGCACCAAATCATGGAGGGTTTAGTAAATTAGGATCAAGAACTTGGATTTTATCTGATGTGTTATGATAAGCCATCAGAGGGTCAGAATCCTGACTTTGCATATAAGCCCAGACACAGCAATATAGGGTACCCTAGGTCTTTGAGCAGTGTTTTTGAAACTGGAGTGATATATGGACCCCTTTTAAAGTAAAACAGTTTCTAAGAAGTCCAGCATTCACTTACATTATTTATGATTGTCTTATTTAAATATGTTCAAACACTAAACTAGTTCTGAACTCCTGGTGCCTAGATTTTAAAAGAACTCTAAAACCATAACAAATTTATAAATTAAGTATAAATAACACTACAAATTTAAAATATCAAGTTAATATTAGTGTGGAGGATAATTGTTTTGATGAATCTCACCTAACAGCCTAAATAGGATGAGAAAGTAGTGTAACATAAGAGCACCTGGGTTCAAATCCCAGCTTAGCATTTATTCACTCTGTGTCCTTGAAGAAATGACTTCTTTTTCTGTAAATTAGGGGTAACAGTACCTACCTTTTATAGTTACTGAGAAGATTAATTGGTATGATCAATATAAAGTGCTTAGGGCAGTTCTTGGCACATAGTTAAGTCTTGGTAAAATGATGGTTATTACTGGCTGCCTATACACAGGCTTTGTTTGGCAGTAGCCTCTATTCTGAGGTGTCTAATAACTCTGTTATCTTGCTGTCTTTCTCTATTTGAACTACAATGAAACATTTGCTTTTAGAATGAGATGTCATGCTCATTTGGCCTTCACTCATCAAGCACATCATTTATGTATGAAGTCCTAGACATAGAGATCCTTCCTGTTTGGTGCCAGTGTGATTACATTCACAAACATTGGAACTCTTGGGGTTTCATGGAAATACTGGGATTATAAATGGATTATCCTAATTTTAGATTTTTTAAATCAATTTTTTAAAATTCTGGTATAAAAACACTAAAATTACAAATTCTCCCAGAGCACTCATAGACCCCTAAAATTATATCCTTCAGGATATAGGATTTTTTAGTTTGTAGTAATCTTGGTGCTGTGTGGAAAAGCTGTGGTTTGTTTACTTTTAAGTTTGGCAGGCCTGTATCGAAGCTTCTCTTGGTATATAGCTGTAGTGATATCAAATTGAATTTCCTTATGAGTTATTTCAGTGCTATTGTTTCCTGCTGAGGGGGAGACAGTAGGCTTTTCTAGGCTTTTCCTCTTTGCTTCTCGTTCTCTCCAGATTATGTGTTTGCTATACTTGATAATTGCCCTCTATTACTCTGCTCTTTCAACCACAAGCTTTTCCTTTCTCTTCATTTGTAGAAAGAATGAGTGAAAGCTTTTCTTTATTTAATTTGCATAGTGGATTTAATATCACATCTTAGAAATCAAAATGTAGAACCTGTGATTTGTGTTCTTCTATACCTTTGGGAATAGAAAGCTGTCATTTACTTTGAAGAAGGTCTTTGTGCAACTCTTATATAGTTTATTAATTTATATTACAACATTGGATTTCACAAAGCTGCTTTCTTTCAGAGTTCAAAGCACTTTCACATTTCACATTTACACATAACTCTAAAGACATTTTTCCTGGGGCTTTTTAATAAAATTCATACTTACATTACTAGTCTTAATGCTAAGCTTAACTATCACATTAACACTCTAAGTAAAACTTTAAAGAATCTACCCTAAAGATAATTACATGCTATTTTGTAATGATTTGGATGTGTATGTATGTGTGTATGTATATGTATGCATATGTATACCACTATTGAATAAGAGTTACAGTCTTGAAATAATTCCATTGCTTCAGTGTGGAAGCTTAAAATATTCTTTGATAAAACATAATTACTGTGAGTTATAAGGAGTATATGTCTATAAGTATTATATATATACACATGTATACATACATATATAAATCTATGTATATATATGAAAACTTTACATTGTTCTAAATACTGCAAGGAAATTATTTTACCTGTATTATATTCGTCTTCATGCTATAATCTTTTGAGATATTTTTTTCCTCCATTTCTTTTCTTTCCCAGTTAAGGATCTTAAGAATCCAGCAGGTATACACTTCCCTTATCCCTAAACATTTAAAACTAATTCTGTGAAGTTCTTTGCTTTTCTTATAATATCCTTTTGTACTGCTGAGACTTCTAACTTTACCTCATCCCCTTTCATTTTCCCATCCTTTTTACCTCTTTCTTTTTACATGTTTTTATAAAGTTTTTGTTTGAATCCTATGTAAGCTTCTCTGTTTTTTGTTTTTCAATACTCTGATCTTGGTGTATGAAACTTTTTTTCAGTTGAATTCCTTTTGCTTTTTTTCTATTTTTCTCCTACAGTTAATCTCTTGGCAAAATAAAATGGCACATGGGTTCTCTTTCTCTTCTGCTATTTGATTTTTCTGCACTTTGTAGGTACTGTTCTCAGTTGTATATTTCCTTACCCTCTTTTAACTTTGCTTTTAAGTTGAAAATACTTCAGTGGTTGCTACTAAACTCTGCTCTTTTTTCTTCCCTTTCTTATACTAATTACTGTACATACATATCATCAGTATTTATTTAGTAAAAATTGACTGATTTAGAATGAAGTATAGAAAGGTATGTGCTGGGTCTGCTTGTTTGAATTACTATACGATTAATGTTAGGCATTAATAATACTCACTTATTTCAAGAACTGTGTAGCTATGTAAGGCATGCAGATACAAGTAGATACTAGTGAAAATACTTGGTGAAATTTTGCAGTCTTTGATGCTACCTTACATATATATTTTTTTAAGTCATAAGTCATATATTTGATACTAGTGCTGTATGTATAAATCATCACTGTCTTTGTTCGATGGAGTTAAAGTTATACTTTAACTTTGGACAGCGCTGAGCTAGCTATGTGACATGTTCACCAGCAAACTAGAAAGATAGACTGATGCAGCAGTTGGGGAGACCAGCTTAGGAAAGATACATCAGTACTTTCTGGGTTTGAGTTTTGTTCTCATTAAATAAAAAGAAGAAAAGTACATTTGTGCTCCCTTGCAACTGTAATATTTCCTAGAAAAGTTCATCCTTGCTTTTTAAAGCTCTCTCAATCCTTTTTAATGGCATTAATATTTTGCTGACTAAATTCTTCGACTAACTCCTTATGCCTTGGATTACCAAATTATGTTTACATATTTCCATTTCCTTCATGTTTTAGAAGTTATCTTGTTTCTATCTAGTTACCAAGACCTTTCATTTTTACTGGAATTACTTCATCAACTTCAGTATCCCCTCTTTATGCCTTCTTAGAGGAATCCTGTGTTATGTCATTATATCAAGATGACACCAGCAATGATATAATGTTTTGCCGTAAGTAACTAGTTGAAACTAAAACGTGCTGAGGAGCGCCATCTTTTTGTCTTTAACCAACTGGAACCATCATTAATCATTGGTGTTAAAAGCATCCTTAGTGAAGTCTGTTTTAGACCATGAGAACCTGACTTTTGAACATTGCTTCAAGCCTTTCTCACTCCAGCTTCTAGGACATTGAGTGACTAAAATTAGGCATACCTTGACCCATTTTTAGGACTCCCATCTAAAAACAGCCAACAACTAGTGCTTGAGTATGTGGATTTGGAGCCAATAGTAGGTCACACATTGAATGATATGTTGAATTTTTAGTAATAGACCTTTAATTTACCTCACATGTTTTATGATAGCCCATCTCCAACCCCCACTTGACTTTGTTTTCCTTTTAAAATTCTCTTGGAAATACTACTTTAACTTTGACTGACTACTTTGCAACTAATAACAACTACCTTGCAACTCTAATATTTCTTAGAAGAGTTCATCCATTGCTCTTTTAAGCATTTACCTTTTTTTCTTTTTGCATTTACCTTTTTAAAAATGTTTGAGCTTCAGGGCACCTGGGTGGCTCAGTTGTTAAGCATCTGCCTTCAGCTCAGGTCATGATCTTGGCATCCTGGGATTGAGCCCCACATTGGGCTCCCTGCTCAGCTAAATAAATAAAATCTTTAAAAAAAAATGAGCTTTTGTCTATGATCCTTAACCCTTAAACTGAAATTTCTAATAATGATCTTAATCTGGTTTACCCTTTGATGCTGCTCTCCTAGACAATCATTCTACTTGATATCTATCAGATTTTCCATATGTCCCATTATTTCCTATATCCTTTTCAGCTTACAGTCAAACTTAGGTTCTGCTTTAGTATGGTTTAGTCACACCATAAATTCTAACAATCTTACTGACTTCCCCAGTGCATAATGATATGCATAGCACCTTTATCTATTTACATGTAGCAATAAAAAAATAGTGCTTATATATTGTTTTATTATTTACTTAAAAAAATTAATCTCCCATGATCTAAACTGTCTTGGTATCTAGTGTAGTTATCAAGCAGGCTATAGGTAGCCAGAAAATATTGAAAGGTGTTTCTTTGCTTGTTTAGACTTTCATAGAGTAATAGCACTTTTTAAATGTCCCACAAGATACACTATAGAAGAATGTCAGATGTTCCTTTTAAGTTGGTTTCAAATTAAACTGAGTGTAATCTAAAAGGCTTTCTCTGGAGTATAGCTTCTAAATATGTTCTTGTTAACATTGACAGTGGGGGCACTTATCTAGTGAAAACTTGGTACTCTGAATTTTTTGGAAGAAAATATTAATCAGTAATTATGTTTCTCTGAATAGGATTTGTATGGAGTCATATTTTGCTTAGGCTCATACTGCTTTGGTTTTATTTAGCACAATATAGTGAGAGAACCTTAAGTTTTTGCTCATATCTTAAAGTGTCCAAAGGTACCCCCAAGGCATGCGAGCATTTAGCATACTACGAAGTTAGAGGGAATAGTCCACACAAGACTGCCCTCACTTCTGGCACCAACTGCAGTTTTTGGGGCTTCCGCACACCCACCTTTAGGTTCAATAATTGGTGTCAAGTTCTCGTAGAACTCACTGACAACCGTTATACTGATGTTTACAGTTTATTATAGGGGAAGCACACAAATTAAAATGAGTCAGTTAAAATAACTAATGGCTTAATTTTCTTCACTTTTTTTTACATATAGCATTTTAATCTACTAAAGACTTTTCAAACATTTTGTCAAAATTAATCAAGTCCTGAAGTCTGGGGAATATTTTCTCCATTTTTCCAGGTGGAGCAACTGTGAGACATAAAATTACATCTTCTAGACCAAGTTTAGGTTTAGTTTTCCTATTCTACCTAAATTCTACAAATGGGGTGCTTAGTTGCTAAAGCCAAGTTTCATTATGTTCAAGCCTTGATAATTTTATGACCACAGACACATGAAACAAAGTTCTTATTTTTATAGATAGAGATACATAAGGTGCAAGTGCAAAGGGTAAGTTTTGTTGTAGGTGTATTTTGGTCTACTTCATTAATTCAGTATTCTTCTGTAGCAAAATATATGAAATGCTACTTTGAATAGGAATAGTTAAATTTGGACACTAACATTGCTCTTTCATTACTGTTACATTCTGCACTGCTGTCTTAGGATGTCAACCATGGATTAACTGAGGTAAGTTTGGTGTAATGCAGTCTCATGTCCAGAGTGAGATATACTGTTTTGTCTTAAGTGATAGGAGAGCAGGGGTGCCTGGGTGGCTCAGTCGGTTAATTAAGCGTTTGCCTTCGGCTCAGGTCGTGATCCCAGGGTCCTGGGATCGAGTCCTGCATCAGGCTCCCCGCTCCATGGGGAGCCTGCTTCTCCCTCTGCCTCTGACTCTCTCTCTCTCTCATGAATAAATAAAATCTTTAAAAAAAAAAAAAAGTGATAGGAGAGCAAAAGGTTCCTGTTTTGTGTGACTTTTATTTTTTTAATAGGTATATAGGAATTGTCCTATATAACATTTCAGAGGAATTTTCTGAAGAAAAATAAAACTTCTATTTTAGTTAACATTACACCTATATGATGCCCTTCAACAATATTTGTGTTAAAATAGTTTCTACCCTCCTAAAGTCTCCCAGTATAAAATTAATATGTGTCCTTTGTAATAAAAGCAGACTTTTAAAGTCTGACAAATGCTTACCCAGTAAGGTAAAAAATACTTTATATTAGAAAACTAAAATGATTTTCAATTTTTAAACTAATAATTGATACTCAGAATGATCATAAAGTTAAATAAACTCATGGTCATCTTCCTCACTTTGTATAATATACTATCTTAACATATAAAGTTTTAGCACTTTAGTTTACATTATCAACAAACCTAAACCACCTTTTTTTTAACACTTGGGATCATTATAGTACTTCTTTTATACTTCTGTTATAGACTTTAGGTTTTATTGTTTTGTTTTATTTTTTCCCAGCACTTGAACCAGTGAAACATTTAGAATTAACTTTATATCATAGGCCTAGTATTGTTTGCGTCCTCATCTTCACATAGAAGTAGTACATAAAATTATGAAATCATAGACTTTGGAACCAGAAAGGACCTTAGAAATCATCTTGGTAGTTTTGAGTTTCAGAGTAGTGAAATCACTTTCTGCCATCAGTAGGTAGTGACACAAATACAGGATCAAGGTAAAAATTGTCATATGAAGAATAGTGAAGAATGATGATTTAAGGTTAATATAACTCAGCCTGCTGTCTTATATGTTGACAATAAAGAGTTGATAGTCTCATCATATTCTATACTGTTTGGGCCCTATTGAATTATTTTATTTGTTTTCGTTAAGAGAGACTTAGGTAAAATACATTTAAAAGAAGGCGTTTAGGTTGGAGAAGGGCTGGAAACCATATTCAGAATGGCTGGAAAAACTGGGAATGTTTACTGTGGAAGGAAGACAATTTAGAGAGAGCCTGGGGACTTGAAATATGTTAAACCGTATATGCTTTCCTGCAATGAAGACTGAAATACAAATGAAGTAATGCATAGTAATGTATAGAAATGTGAATTCAGACTTTAAATAAAGAGAACTTCCTAAGCCCTTAAGAAGTGGGTTGTTTCATGGTGTATTGTCTTCACAGAAACTATACAGCAGGGGGCTCTGTTTCAGAGCTGACACAAAAACATTGCCTTGTTGGGTACCTGGTAGGAATCCTCCTCCAACTGCAAGAATTTGTGGCTGGAAATGCATAGCTCTTTGTATTTTTCTGCATTGTTAAAATACTTAGCGATCAATCACTGTATTACTTGCTAGGATAAATGTAAAGTGATTAATGTGTGATAATGGTAATAATATTTCAGTTTTCTCAACTTCAAAGGTTGACAGAAAATAATACTGGTGGTGCTAATTTTGTAGGTTAAAATGAATGAAAGATTGTTGGACTTTTTGGCACTCTAATGACATACAATAAATATCTGTTAAATGAATGAATAATCAGATTGCTTATTATTGGCCTCAGTTGCTAGAGTAGCCCTAAAATATAAGAACTGGGTAATGTATTTAACATAGGAGCCCCCAGTTTTATTTTATTTTTATTTTTAAGAGGGAGGGAGGGAGGGGAGAGAGAGGAAGAGAGGGGGGAGAGAGACTCTTAAGCAGGCTCCATGCCCAGCACGAAGCCCGATGTGGGGCTAGATCTCACAATCCTGAGATTGTGACCTGAGCTGAAACTAAGAGTTGGATGCTTAACTGACTGAACCACCCAGGTGCCCAGGAGCCCCCAGTTTTAGAATATATTTGCAGCCTAATTCACTGAATCTTGGAATTTACAATTGTATGGACTTTGAAGTATACAATTCCCTCCTACAATTGGGGTTATTGGGAATTGAGGTTATTCCAGTGCCTCACCTGATTATCAGTAAAAATTCCATATTTGGAAGTAAGCAATGTATTTTAGTTATAATTCCTGAACAGCAGATAAGTGAATAAACCAAGAATGTGATCAGCTTTAAAAGAAATGACAGCACCTACAAAAAAATATATCACAAATCAATTTGTACTAATATGTTAATTTTTTATTTCTAGTTGGCAGATATCCCTGTTACAATCTGCACATATCCATTTGTATTTGATGCCCAAGCAAAAACTACTCTGTTACAGACAGATGCAGTGTTACAGATGCAGGTAAAATATAGTTTAATACAAAACTGATTTGAGAATGGTTTTTGAATTGTTTCTGTGAGGTTTTTTAAAAAGTAAATATTTGAATTTTGCCTATAATCAGTAATCCTTGGGAACATTCTGTACCTCAGTGGTCTGGCTTTTGCAAAGTACCTTTGGTACCTTATAAAGAAGACTGTTGCATTGGTTACATGTATATTCTTATGAGGGCTACTTATGTATATTTAAATGAAAATAGAATAGCCTTTAATAATTTTATATCTAAAAAAAGGTATGAGCCTTTTTGTTACAGAAATATGCAATTTTTGTAAACAGTTTTACTAGTTTCCTTGATAAACATTGGTTTGTTTCAAATCTTGCTTCATTATATATTCCATATTTATATACTTGGTAAAAAATGGAAGTAACTAGAGATGAGATGAAGTAAAGTAAGAGGAATTTGATCACTTGTTAAGGGGAGGATATGAAGTTTCCTTGAAGAAAGTTTTAGTAATAAGGCATTTTCCTAAGATTGGTCATCTCCTGCTCCTCCCTCTCTTTTCTCCCCCAGCCTGCTCTGTTTTATGTTGAACATTTTTTCATTTATAATGTGATTTTTTTAACTGATTTATGTTATGACTTTGAGAGCTAACAGTAGATTTGCTTTATCTTTTCAGCCTGTAAATTAAAAAGTTTTTGAGTTTTTAGCAGAGTATCAGACGGTAGAAGCTAAGGACTAAGAGAAGGATGGGAAGAAACCTTGAGCACTTAATATTCTAAAAATGCCTTAAAAAAATTATCCCCACCCCAATTTTGATAGTTATTTTCATTCCTTTAAAATAAATGCATTTAGTATTTTAAATGCCTCCAGATATTTAAAACATAAATACTAGGGGAATTTTAGAGGTGCTTATATCCATTTTCATCAACAGAAGAAATAAGTATTTTTATAGGGTTTATACTAGCAGCTGGTGAACCAGCTTTTGGATGGTCATTGTTAAAACAATAATTGCCTCATGCTTTTAATATATAGTATATTCCATTTTAGAACAAGAACACAGGAAAAACCATACAAAAAAAACAAAGGTTTTAGATGGTGAAGGCCAAATGCTTGGTTTGTGAGCACATGTGTGATCACTGTACTAGATGAATTTCTATAATACTACTTAGCGAGGCTGTTCCTTATTCTCATTAGAGGTTGTTTTAATGTTGTTTTCTTTTTCTTCTCACTCTTCATCCCTGTGTTTTTTGAGAAATAGCAGTGTTCAGATTTATCATATTATAGTTCCTTGCTTGTTTAATGGTATCGTTAGATATACTTCAGTCTAAACATTCAAAAGGACACTTTATGCTGAGAATACAGTTTTATTAAGCTTATAACTGTATTAGGTGCTCTGTGAATTCAATAGTATAGGTAGTAGTATAGGAATTATAAACACAGGATTATAATCAATAGGTAGAAGTTAGCTTACCTAGTCACATTAGTTTCTTTATAGCATCACTATTAAAATTTTAATCTTTTGTTTTCTAGATGGCTATTGACCAGGCCCACAGACAGAATGTCTCCTCTCTTTTTCTCCCCGTGATTGAATCTGTGAATCCCTGCTTAATTCTAGTTGTGCGTAGAGAAAATATTGTAGGAGATGCAATGGAAGTCCTTAGGAAAACAAAGAATATAGACTACAAAAAGCCGCTCAAGGTAATTTGACATTTTCTGTTATATATATTACAATATATGCTCAGCAATTAATAGTTTTTTAAAACTATTAATTGCTGAGCATTTATTGTTAATAAATTACATGTTATGGGCTCTTGGCTCTCTCTCGGCTCTCCAGAATATACTTCCATTTCTTTATGTTCAGTGTTTGCATTATGCTATTGTAGGTTATATTTGTTGGAGAAGATGCTGTTGATGCAGGAGGAGTACGCAAAGAATTTTTCTTGCTCATCATGAGAGAATTGTTGGATCCTAAATATGGCATGTTTAGGTATTACGAAGATTCCAGGCTCATTTGGTTTTCTGATAAGGTGAGGTCCAACTGTCTAAATTATTTCTAATTTAGAGATAATTTAGAATAATCTAAGAATAATTTTAGAAATATACCTATGTATGTATACCTACATGTGTCAAGTTGACTCAGTAAATAAAAGTTATTACTGGATTCCTAACATATTCAGAGATTTGCTTTATTACAGTTTGAAAAGTTATAAACTTTGGGGCGCCTGGGTGGCTCAGATGGTTAAGCGTCTGCCTGCGTCTCAGGTCATGATCCCAGGGTCATGGGATCGAGCCCCACATTGGGCTCCTAGCTCAGCGAGGAGCCTGCTTCTCCCTCTGCCTCTCTCCCTGCTCATGCTTTCTCTCTCTGTATCTCTGTGTCTCAAATGAATAAATAAAATCTTTTAAAAAAAAATTATAAACTTTTGGACTCAGAGTCATCAGGACACCTTAATACTTCTCACACATTTCAAATTAGCAAAATAAATTAAAGGAATGGTCAGCCTGAGAATGATGGTGACCTTTCCTTCTGCTGATTTAGATTTGAGGATTAGACAATAATTACCAGATTAACTTTTCCTCTCGGAAGAATTAATTTATCATTAGCAATCATTGATTTCTCTACCTTATCATTTAGGGCAGAGGTAACTACTGAGCAAATTATAGTCCATAAGCTAAATTCCTTTCCACACATGTTCTTGTAAAGAAAGTCATGTCCACTCATTTACCTGTTCATGGCTACTTTCTAGCTACAACTGGAAGAGGCGGAGTTGAGTGTTTAAGACAAAGACCCTATGATCAACAAAGCCTAAAATATTTACCATTTGTCCCCTTACAGAAAAAGTTTGCTACCCTTGATTTAGAGACTATAAATGAAATGGGGATGGTTCAGTTACAGAACAAGTTGAAAGAAATTTGAATAGAATATTTACTATTTGTTCTAAAAACCTTGATGTGTTACTTATTCATTGTTTCAGGAGGCTTGCTGTCCTTTGTCATGTTAGCAGTCATTGATGATCAGTGCCTAGGCTCATTAATTTATTAGGTTGCAAAAACGGTGCTACTTTTAAATTTATATTTCATTTTATTGGCTTGGATACTTCTATATAGAGAAATTTCCCTACATCTACTATTTGGTTCCTTAGTAGTATAATTCATATGGGGAAGGATTCTCTTTCTTCAGTTGCCAGCTTTGCAAAAGAATGAACCTGTTCATTGGCATCATACTTCAGTGGTGACGATTTGTTTTTTAGTTTTGTTTTCAAATATTATTATTTATTCATGGATTTAAGTATATTTGATGTTTTTAGTCCGTTGTAGTTATTATCTTTATTGCTGCTCCCGTCTTTGTCTAGGGAGAGCTCTACAGGTTGGAGAGTTTGTTCTGTTTTGTTTTGTTTTTTAAGATTTTATTTATTTGAGAGAGAGCACAAGTGGGGGGGAGGGGCAGAGGGAGAAGCAGACTCCCCACTGAGCAGGGAGCCCAATGGTGGGGCTCAATCCTAGGACCCTGGGATCATGACCTGAGCCAAAGGCAGACGCTTAACCGACTGAGCCATCCAGTCACCCCAGTAGGTGGACAATCTGACTGAATTACAGTCTCCTCCTTGGCTTGGTCTCTTAGGGTAGTTTGTTAATGGTGTGGTAGATGGAATTTGAGAGGGTACATAGGATGGAGGCCTGTCCTGCTAGGATCACAAAGAGTTCTGTGGGCCTTTATTCAGTTCTACAGAGAGGTAATGTTTTGAAACCAGGGGAGGGGCAGTCTTTTTTTTTTTAAAGATTTTATTTCATTTATGTGAGAGAGAGAGCACAAGAGGGGTTAGGGTCAGAGGGAGAAGCAGACTCCCCGCCGAGCAGGGAGCCCAGCGTGGGACTCGATTCAGGGTATCCGGGACCATGACCTGAGCCGAAGGCAGTCGCCCAACCAACTGAGCCACCCAGGCGCCTGGGAGGGGTAGTTTTAACAAGCTTTATCATGGATCTCTGTGAGACCTTTCCAGTTATATCTTGATTTGGCCAATGGGAGCCCTGTTGAACTGGTTCCTCTTTTGTGTACTTTTGACATGTCCCCATTTTTCCTTAATTCTTTACATTTAGTACAACAAATGTTCGAGGCTCTTCTTGTGTTTATCCCAGCCCTGGCATTAGCCATTTCTCTTTAAAAGCCCTGACTTCTTCAGATGGAAATGGTATTTAGAAATTGTGTTTTGGATGCTAAGTGTACTCACTATTACCAGGGAGTCATTGCTTTCAGATTCTCGGCAGACAGAAAGAACTAGGAGCTATAACTATGTATACCCACACGTACACATCTTATGGTTTCCAGACACAAGATCATACTGATACCTCTCATTCTTTTTTTAATGATTTTATTTATTTATTTGAGAGAGAACGCACGCACAAGTCGGGGGAGGGAGCAGGAGAAGCAGACCCCCTGCTGAGCAGGGAGCCTGATGCAGGGCTCAATCCCAGGACTTTTATTTATTTGAGAGATAGAGACAGAGAGAGAGAATGAGCAGGGGGAGGAACAGAGGCAGAGGGAGAGGCAGACTCCCTGCTCAGCAGGGAGCCTGATGTGTGGGACTTGATTCTGGAACTCCAGGATAATGACCTGAGCCGAAGGCACCCAAGATTGTTTTGATTATTAGGGGTCCCTTGCAATTTTGTATGAATTTTATGGTTAGCTTGTCCATTTCTTCAAAAAAGGCCATTAAGGATTTGATAGAGAAGGTGTTGAATAAATGTTTTGTTCTTTTTGATGCTGTCATAAATTGAACTTTTTCAGAAATTTTATTTTTGGTTTGTTCATTGCTAGGGCACAGAAATACAGCTGCTTTTTGTATGTTGATCTTGTATCATGCAATTTTGCTGAATTCATTTATCAGCTCTAATAGGTGGTTTTGTGGATTCTTTAGGATTTTCTTTATATGAGATTATGGCATCCACAAATGAAATAGATTTAATTTTACTTCTTTCCCTCCAATTTAAATACCTTTATTTCTTTTTCTCACTTAATTGCCCTGGCTAGAACTTCAAAACACTGTCAAATACAAGTGGTAAGAGTGTACATGCTTTTCTCATTCCTGATCTGAGTTGGATGTTAGCTGTGGATTTTTCATAAATTCCTTTTATCATGTTAAGGAAGTTCTCTTCCATGTCTAGTTTGTTGAGTATATTTATCGTGAAAGAAGAGTGGGATTTTCTCAGATGCTTTTTCTGCTTCAAGATGATCGTGTGCTTTCCTTCCTTCATTCCATTAATGTGTTGTATTACATTGGTGCATTTTCTTATGTCAAGCCACCTTGTATTCTTTTTTTTAATTAATTTTTTTTTAAAGATTTATTTGACAGAGCACAAGCAGGGGGAGCAGCAGGCAGAGGGAGAGGGAAAAGCAGGCTTCCCGCCGAGCAGGGCCGAAGGCAGCCGCTTAACCGACTGAGCCACCCAGGCACCCCACCACCTTGTATTCTTGAGATAAAGCCCACTTGGTCATGGTGTATAATCCATTTAGTTGACCTGTATTCTGTTGATGATTTTTCCATCCTTATTTGTTAAGGATACTGGCCTATAGTTTTCTTTTTGGTGTTTGTGATGCCTTTGTCTGTCTTTGGTGTCATGTTAGTTTGACCTCACAGATGAGTTAGAAAATGATCCCTCATCTTCCGTTTCTTGAAAAAGGAAAAATTGGTGTTATTTATTCTTTAAAAGTTCGGTAGAATCTGATCCTAGGCTTTTCTTTGTTGGAAGGATTTTTTTGTTTTGTTGAAAGACAGAGAAAGGGAGCATGTGCGCGGGGGGAGGGGTGGAAGGAGAGGAGAGGGAATCCCAAGCTGACTCCCCACTGAGCGTGGAGACCCACATGAGGTTCAGTCCCCCAACCCTGAGATGGTGACCTGAGCCAAAACCAAGAGTTGGACGTTTAATCAGCTGAGCTACCCAGGTGCCCTTTTGGAAGGTTTTTTATTTTGAGGGGTTTTTAAAAGATTTTATTTATTTGAGAGGGAGCATGAGCCGGGGGAGGGGCAGAGGGACCCCAAGATCATGACCCAAGCCAAAGGCAGACATTTAACTGACTGAGCCACCTAGGCACCCCTGGAAGTTTTTTGATGAGTGATTCAGTTTCTTCTTATAGGTTGTTTCTTAGGGGTTTGTTTGTTTGTTTTTAGATTTTCTAATTCTTCTGGTGTCAGTTTGGTAGTTTGTATGTTTCTAGGAATTTATCCATTTCATCTAGATTATCTATTTTGTTGTCATACAGTTGTTCATGGTATTCTGTTACAATCCTTTTTATTTCTGTAAGAATGATAGCAATGTCCCCACTTTCAATCCTGATTTTAGCAATGTGAGTCTTTCTTTTTTTCTTGGTCATTCTAGCTAAAGGTTTGTCAGTTTTGTTGATCTTTTAAAAGAATCAACTTCTGGTTTTGTTGCTTCTGTGTGTTGTTTTTCTATTCTGTATTTTATTTATCTCCACTTTAATCTTCATTGATAATCTCCCTCTACTAGCATTGGGTTTAGTTTGCTTTTCATTTTGTAGTTCGTTAGGATATAAAGTTTAGTTATTGATTTGAGATTTTTTTTCTTTTTTTATATATATGTTTATAAATTTCCCTATGAATACTGATTTCACTGTATCATATAAGTTTTTATATTGTGATACCTTCTTTGACCCATTGGTTGTTTAGGAGTGTGTTAATTTTCACATGTTTGAATTCTCCATATTTCCTTTTTTTTTATTTTTAAGAATTTATTTTTAAGTAAGCTCTACACCCTACGTGAGGCTCAAACCCACAACCTCAAGATCAAGAATTGCACACTCCACCAAATGAGCTAGCCAGGCGCCCTGTCTCCATATTTCTTCTGTTGATTTCTAGTTTTATTCCACTGTGGTCTGAAAATATATTTTTAATGATTTTAGTCTTTTTAAATTTATTGAGACATTTTTTGACCTAACATATGGTCTCTCCTGGAAAATGTTCCATGTGCACTTGAGAACATGTATTCTGTTGTGGAATGGAATGTTTTG